CAGAGTCAAAACAGACAGCTGGGTATTTCAGCTGTGGGCCAAGGTTTTTGATCGAGTCGGCCCCATAAAGTGGTGTCCTGTTGGTTTCTCTTCGAATACCAAGAGGGGGCTCACCATTTTGAGTAGCACTCATGTGGCGATCTGAACTTTATTGGTTGGAAAACCCTGGCAAGTGGTTGGGGACATAAATGTGCATGTAACTGATACCACCAGGGCCCCAAGGAACAACAGCATGCAACAAAGCATGGGGGTCCATTTTTGGGGGCGTGTTCCCTACTAAAATAGACTACAGAAAAAAGGGTACCCTTATTCTAACCTCTATACTGGAGCACCTAGACGTTGTTTTGAGGGAACGAGCCATCAACCGAACTCTGCCAAAAAACCTCCACCAACCTGCCGTTTGGAGTGCGAGGCCCAGCGGGAGCTGGTCTACAAGCAGCTCATCGCCAGCGAGCATATTCGCGCCTTGGGCTGAACTTGGGGCACGTCCGGCACCCAACCAATATGGGTTTGTTCCCCCCTGTATTTTGACGATGCAGTTTTATGGATGGGTTGTGGGAAGTATATAGAATATATATATATATATATATATATGCACACATTTCTAAGATACATATGTATATGTGTATATCCCCATGGACCCTGGCTTGGTGAGTTTGTTATTCCTTGATTTTATGCCTGTTTTTGCCGTGGTGATTTTGTGGCCAAATTGGGGGGGGGGGTGTCAGATATTTGTCTACATTATCAAAGGAAGTTTAGTTAGAAAACTTCCGTAATACGAAAAGTAGAGTCAGACATGCGAAACGCGCGAAGGGTACCCCTGTTCAGCGTGCGGTCTCGCCACGGTCCATTTTGTGTGGCAAGCGCATCACTTTGGCAGCCTAAGCCTAAGGTGCAGATTTCGTGGCAGGCGCAGCACGTTTGCAAGGTCAAGTGCAGATTTCGTGGCAGGCGCGGCACTTTTGCAAGGTCAGGTGCTAGATAGACGGATACTGTAGATAGATCAAAATGGGAAGAGAGAGAGAGAGAGAGAGAGAGAGAGAGAGAGAGAGAGAGAGAGAGAGAGAGAGAGAGAAAGAGAGAGAGAGAGAGAGAGAGATATAAAAAAGACAGAGACGAAGGTGTAAATCGCGCGGCAGGCGCAGCACTTTCGCAAGGTCGAGCACAGATTCCGTGTGGCAGGCGCAGCACTTTCGCAAGGTCAGGTGCCGATTTCACGGCAGGCGCAGCGCTTTCGCAAGGCCAAGTACAGATTTCGTGGCAGGCGCAGCACTTTCGCAGCTTCTTCCATCCATCATTGGATTCAAGACAACATGTCACATGTCACATGTTACATATTGCATGAAGAACAGCTATGCATGTCGCCGACCAGCTTCGTCCGTGCGCAAGCCTGAAGCGCCCTGCCCGGGCCAAGCTGGCGGCGTGGAAGCGCCCGGGCTGGGATGTGTTATTCGCTCAGAAGCTTGACGGCGCGAGTCGCAAGGAGTTTTGGGAGGCGGGGGAGAAGTGGGTTGTGGATTCAGTTCCTGGCCAGTGCGGGCACACCGCCAAGAGAATGAACAGGGCAAGCCAGCGGGGCAATTCTGCGACAAGCTGAAGTGCATCAGCTGCGTGAAGGCTTCGTGTGCGTGGATATGCTGCGCTTCTTGTAAGAAAGGCGAGGTTGCGGTGTCCGGGATGCCCGTGAACTGTCACTGGGGTTTTAAACCTGGAAGCCTAAAGTGATGTGAGCCAAACCCAGAAGCCTCAACCCTAAACCCAAAACCGTAAGCCCTGAAACCTTTTGTCATGTGAGCGAATGACGCGAGCCAAGCCCAAAAGCCTACATCCTAAAGTGATGTGGGGAAACAGGGCGATGAGGTGCGCGGATGAACAGAATTCTTGCTGCACGGTTGGCCCTCATTCGCTAGGTGCGCAGATGAGCTGATTTTCAGATGTGCAGAAGAGCCCAGTCCCCACAAATCCTATTTCAATCTTCCCTGTAGAAGCCCCTTAAATGTTTAGCCTCATATAGTCTGAATTGTACTTGCGAAGTAAGTCTATTTAACTATCTTACCACAAGCCAGTTGCATTAGTACCGTATTGGATTAAGCTTACTCCTTAGATCACATTTCAGTATGTAGAATGTATCGTTAAAGATTAGTTGAGTCTTAACCGTTATTATATGTACATGCAGTTTAACTCCTATTTGGAAAGGATTGTTTATTTGAGTTATACTGAACATAAAGCAATTGTGGACAACTATATCCTTACCTTAGCGCGGCGCAATCGCGTGCGGCGCAATCGAGCGACTGCCCGCGATTGTGGGTGGCGATTTTCGCGGGTGCGGTTCTAATCGCTGCATTGTGCAGCCTGCGAGTGCCCTGTAGTTTATGCCAGTGTAGGATTCATATGAATACCGGTGTTTTTGTCTTGCTTGCATGTTCGCGGCGCGGGCAAAGGGAACCAGAAACGATCTTAGGCGCGTAAAGCATTCCAAGGCAATTCTTTGCGAAGCTGGGTGGTGCGTGCTCTTAGGTAAAGTCCCGGGCAAGCGCCTTGTGCCCGGGCTGCTCAAAGGCCTGGGCTTTCAACCGCTAACCAAGTCGGACGACCAGCTTTCTCAGGCAGTAAGTCTGCTTAGTTGTTGGAGGCAAGGGTTGAAAACACGCGCATCCCCTTCTTTGCTTGGTCTGCAGGCTGGTGGCCGCACGCGCAGCACACGTTGGTCGATGCGCGGGGGTTTTGGGACAAAAACCCTGACGTGGGACTGGGCGCCGTGAAGGGCCGTGGCCGCGGAAGCGGCCACCAGGTGATGGTACCTTGTTTGGATGTTCCTTGCCGTTTCGGAACAAGAACAAACCTTCTTCTTTTTTTAGAAGGTGTGTACTCACGTGCTGATTTTGTTCATACTTGTGTTAGATGGCGTCTTCTATGACACGGACGCGTACGTTGCCTCATGGCCGGCGGGCGGGCGGCGGTGGTCCTCGTGGCCTACTGCACTCAGGGCTCCAGTTCTTGCACCTGGCGTTGGACAAGGCCTTCCACCGTGAAACCACCGCGACGTTGGAGCTGGCGCTGTCCCTGTCCTGTGCCCTGTCACCCTTGCATATGTGTAAGTCGCAACACAATCTTTGTTTCACCTTGCAGGCAGGCGCTCCGTGTCGGCCTCTTTCGTCGTCGGACAGCTGTCCGCTGCACTTTTGCCAACATCCGGCCGGACGACGAGCGCTTCGCACGCAAACCCTGACCTCTCCTGCTCTGAGTTTTGAGAAAGAGTGTTCCAGCGTTTCGTTTATTTCTGCTTCGTGGCGTTGGCGCACATTTGCATTTCTGTGTGGGCTTTGGATTCCCAGGCACTGGTGGAAGAGGCCATGTCAGGCAAGGGACGGGGCCTTACATCACAATTGAAAATTAGTTGAAGAAATGCAACGCCTCTCTCTTGAGGCAACAGGTGCTGCCTAGCTTTTCAAACTGCAGCCATAGTCACTTCAACAGTCCGACGACACTCTCCAAAGTCAGAATGGCGTGTGGTCGGAAGATATCTGATGTGTTGCCCTCGGGCCTTATGTGGTCCAAAGGCTTAAGGGACGCAAGCGGTGCCAGAGCTATGATTACCAGCTGCGGGGGCATTCGGCGGACTTGTCAAGGACCTTCTCCAGCAGCGGTCACCTGCCTGTTGGCGGCTGAGAAGAAGCGGGCGGAGCATTGAGCACGCTGTGCACCAGTGTGCTCCTCGGCAAGCCAGGGCATGTCCATCCCCGTCCGGGCAAGCTGCGCCCATCAGAAACCTTCCCTTCAAAGCCACCGGGCCCTGTGTTCAAAGGAAAGCGCTAGGAAACCAGGCGTTCGAGGGTAGGCCCTTGATCTTGACACAAAGCAATGTTAATCCATATCTAAGTGTACTTGAGCGTCAGCGATTTGTGCTTTTGTCTTGGCGTCCACAGACATCGGCAAGCGCAAGAACTTTAGCTGTCTGGGTGGAGTGGAAGCAGCTGAGCTCAGAAGCATGGGCATCAGTGAGCAAGATCTCAGAACCTGAGCGTGGGATGAGAAGCAGAAGCCACGCATGAGCCAGTCACAAGGCTTTGCTTGAGGGAAGGAAGTAAGACGCGATTCAAGTTTGCGACTTAGCCTTGTGATTGCAAATCGCTGCGATAATGAAGACAGTAACGTTTTAAATCGCAGCGCTTTGCGATTGCGACCCTGCTTCGCTAAGACCCTTACTAAATCTATTTTTGCACATCTTGGGAGGACTCCGAACACCAAATTGCGAGGCTTTAATTTATCCCAAATTGGAAAGCTCAAGGATTAACATCTCTAGATGTACCATCACCAAAAGGCACTAAAATCAGGGTCCTTGAAAAGGGGGGTTGCATATCTATATGTATATATATATACATATATTTGTGTACCTGCTATATTTAGAGATACTTGTTTTTCAACGTACCAACGGAAAAACCTACCCAGGGATCCCCCTACTCTGGCACATTCATTTTGGTATTGGAAATGTAACGAGAACATGAGCTCGGGCACATGGTTCAGTTTAGTACTAGCCCCAAAAGCTGAAAGCCATGAGGTCGATAGGCCCACTCTTTTGCGCTCTGGGGCGGTTCGGGGCAGCTGAAAAAAGGTGTGCGTTCAATCGGAGGACATCATTTTCACCGGGATGTCCACCGACCCTTTTTGAGGGTGCTCTCTATAAATCAGGCAAGAATACTTGTAGTAGGGGAAGAACACAGCCGTGCACAAACGGCGCTTGAGGTCCATTCAAGCCGTCTTGGGAATTGTCAAAGCCTACACCCCAAGCTTTAGCACCCGTTTGCGTTGTGCGGCATTTTCGCTGGCGTAGCACCCTGTCTTCGGCCCCCCCAGAGTGCAAGGTTTTATGAATCAACGGGATTAGTTTCCCATAGGAACTGTTGGCCACGGAGCTCCCACCTGTGAGGTGCCAAGGATTATTGGGTGCCGCGTTGGGAAATCAAGAGATTAAGAAGTGTAAACGACAGTTGCTTAAACCCATGGGTTTTGTTTCCGTCCTTTTTTCATATCCTCCCTTTGGGTCTTGAAAAGCGGCCAAGCTACTGGCACAAAAACCTGCAGTTGCTAGGCGGTTTATCCAAAATATCATTTGGTTCACCCATCCGAACTGGTGCGAAATGGATTTTGTCCATCCACAGTATTCAGGTATAGCCTTTCATTGGTGGTTTGGGTGAACGGGAAACCACCCTAAGCACCAAACCACCTATGGTCCAATGGTTCTTTAAATGGCTCTTTACACCGATAGCTTTAAACACATTTCCGAAATTTCGCCCGACCTCGAAAGCTTTCGGCCACTCTGTAGGCTGGGCCGTGTCCGTGGTGGGGGTGGCCGGCATCGACAAGAACAACATCTTGGAAGCGGCGCACAAGGCCATGTGGGCGGTTTTAGAAATCCATTTTTTTCGTGTTTCTTTTCCGAGGGCACCTTTTCTGAAACTTGGAAGCCGCTCATTTCCCCTTCGGTTGTGTGTCAAAACATGCGGGACCTCCCAAAATGGCTTCGGCTTTCCTCTTGGTTGCCCTTGAAACCAACTTACCAAGGGCGCCTTCAAACATTTCACAGCCCCCAGTCGCACAAGCCCGGCAGGAACCCATGAATTAGCAAGAAGAACCCTGTTGGATGTGTCTTTGTTGATGGCAGGGGTGGTTTAAAATGGAATCCAAAAGGAAACCACTCATTGTTTGGGATCCCCTATCTAAGACACCCCATGTGCAGGAACCCGCGTCCTTGATTTCGCGGGGTTCCAGAGGTTTACACGCCAGGGAGGAAGAGGAATTCCTTGAAGTGCACACGCTGAAGGTTGAAGAATCCTGCTAGAACACGTCGTTGTTTCTTTTGCGTTCTGATGTTCGCCATGGGCTGTACCTCTTTGGGTACCCAGAATGGGCAGATCCACAGAAGCATCCAACAAAAGCCTTCGTGGAACTGGTTTTTAAACTTCTCTGAAACTGTTTAAACAGTTGTTTAGAGCTTCTTTTGGAACTTCTTTAAAGCTTGTGACCTTGTAATTTCTTAATGCTCAAAATTGACACAACCACACACACACACAGCATGCTGCATGTATCTTCCCGAACTTCCAAAGATAGAGGACACCCTACGTTTTGCTGTCGCCTTTTCCCACTTTTGTACCATCCCAATTGGAAACACCATGTTCTGACTGGGGGTGCCCTGCTGGCTTTTCATGCTGGAAACGGGCCTGCGGGGCCCGCAGTGAGCGTGGAAATTCTTTCTGACATCTGCTGTGTCTGCAAGGCGTTCCTGTGTCAACTGGCCCAAATTTTGACGCATTCCCCCAACAAACGCAGAGAACATGCGCCAGAAGAAAGTTTTGTTCCGGGTTTCTTCGGCTTCTTTGGAACTCATCGCACTGCTTTGGAGCAGATGATTTCAAACACCCCCTCCCTCGATGCGCTCACTCAGGCCATGGCTGGTGCGGTGCGGAACTTGCGGCGGCCGCTGGCCCAAGGGCTCTGAGTGCCAGTCGGATGGTTCCCGCCCCCACCCCCCCCCAATATCATCAGGCAACCCTCAATTGGTTTGGATTTGTGGTTTGGATTTGGACTTGAAGCCCTGGTTCTTGTGGAGCGGTGCTAGAACTCTGCAAAGGCGACCCTTAGAAACGAAGCCTGCGACAAGGTGAGCCCCCCTGTAAAACGAAGGCGACCCTTTAAATCCAAGCCCCCAGAGATATTCCATTTTTGCACCTTTTGTTTTGGAGATAGCGAATATAGGTGGTAAAACCCTCGACTTGTCTGGGTGGTTCCCAGCCATCCATCCCTTTAGGGTTTTAGATTTTTGGTGGGTTTAGTGGTTTCCACAAAACCACGAGTGAGACAATTCCGCGGATCTGGGAACAGCCCAGGTTTTCTTTTGACCCAACCCCCCCCCCCCCCCCCGCCTCTTGGGCTTGGAACCGTTTTTCCGGTGGGTGCTGATGGGGTCAGTGGCGGGGCTTCCCATGGAAGCTCTTAGGGCCGCGTTTTAAGGGGTAGCGGGTGGCTGGGTGCATCCGCCCCAGTGAATTCTTTAGTTTCACTTGCCAGTCTGAAATGGGTGCCGTCGACATAATCCTCGAGAAAACCAGACGCCCTCAAAACCCTGGACACAACCTCAAACAGCCTTTAGACCCTCGAAACACCTTTAAAACCCTCAAAGTTCCCTAAACCCCTCACACGTCCAGACCCTCAAACCACCTTTGAACCCTCCACACACCTTCAACGCTCCCGTTGAACCCCCGAGCCTCAAGAAAAGCCGACGCAGGGACCTGCGGAAGCAGAAGGAAGACCCCGTGGGCCCGGTGGTCGTGGATGGCGCGGAGTCCCAAGACGTGCGCGGGGGTTGGAGTTTTGAGGTTGCGAGTGGGCGAGACGCTCGAAATGGCGGGATGGACTTGATTCTCCGCTTTCTTTTCAAGCATCCTTCCGGGCTTCCTTTCCAAAACCGGTTCCGTTTCCCCGCGGGTTTTGATGGTTTACTGAAAAGAAGGATCTCTGGAAAGAATGGCAAAGCTTCCCCTAGAATGGAGGGATGGACCCCCAACACTCAAGGAAACTTGGCGGGCGGCCATGACGGGAGGCGAGGGCCAAGGGGTTGAGTGGTGATTCGAGCTCCCAAGTTGATGGGGACTTTACATTTTTGGGGTTCTTGGCTGCCCCATGGCCAAGTACTATATGACTATATGGGTATGGGCCAAAATCAAGCTACCAGGGGACCGCACGTTTTAGTCCATGTTGCCATTTACCAGGGTTCCATTTTGGGTACATATTTTTGACCCACAGCCATATCCTTAATGCATTTCAATCCCACCCATTTTAGCAGGTGATTCTACCTGATTCACCTGCTAAAATGGGCAAGAATCGGTGTTAGGCGATTGATTCTACCTGATTCAATAGGGGTTGTAGTAGTCCCCCAAATATCCTTACTAACCATCTCAGTAGAACCTTCCCTTTTGCTTTTTCTTTCTCTAGCCAACGGGTCACGGAAGAACCTGGTGGGTGGTCGATCGAAACGGGCGTGGTTCAAAATCAAGCAGCTCGGGCAAACCGCAGATGTTAATCTTTTCCACGTACCTAAGGTGCCATTTTGGGTTCTATTTCTTTGCGCCGCATCCATATCCGCGGGATCCTCCCAAAAACTCCGCCTCAAAAACATGTATTCGGGTGGAGCTGTGCTAAAACTTTGTGAAACGAAGGTGGCCCTTAGACACGAAGCCTGCGACAAGGTGAGCCCCCCTGTAAAACGAAGGCGACCCTTTAAATCGAAGCCTCCAGAGACATTCCATTTTTGCACCTTTTGATTTTGGAGAAAGCAATTACAGGTGATCCATGTGAAAGATCCCAAAAAAAAAAGCCTCCGCCTCAACCCCTTGAGCTCTGCTGAACCCCGCGCTGGGCTCGCTCCGCTCAAGGCAACTTGGTGCCGAAGCGCCTGGGCACGGAGCAGCGCCGCCTGCAGCTCCCCTGCCGCGCCCTGGTGGGCGGCGACCGCCGGGGGCGCCAGCTGGGGCGGGGCCTTGCCGGGGGGGGGAGCTCGGTGGAGGGGGGTGGGTTTTGGGGTTTCCTTCCATGTCCATTTCCATTTCAGGGATCCTTCTAGAAACCTTGGGCAATCTAGAGAGTTGACGGATCCGGTGTTTGAGAAGGATTGTTGAAAAGAATGGTTGGAATCAAGCCCTAGAATAAAGATTTTAAGTTACCCCTTCTATTGCCCAACGGTCAAGAACCAGGCCATTCGATCGAGACAACGCCAGCAAGATTTCCTTGATCAACATGAGCTGAGCTGCCGTGAAGGCATGCAGGCCAGAAGGCAACCATGGGAGCGTGGACATGTGGTCGGCTCCCGCCAACATGCCGCCACAATGTCACACCTCTAGTGGCGCCGTCTTTTTTTTGTTGTTGAGGGGTTTCCCTTCAAAACACTCAGTTGCCCAAATCGAATCAGCTTTTTCCCCCTTTGGTAAAGACAAGCTGGCAATTTCTTGTCCCATGGCCACTGGGTGTCTGGGTTCCGCATCCCTGGAACTTTCAGCCCTTCCTCGGCATTTTCCGCCAGATCGAAAAATCACCGGCCACAAGTCAATCACCGGCTACAAGAAGGGTATCGGTATGTGTCCAAACTTTGGGAACCCCAAAATGGGTGGCTTTCTTTGTGGTTTCCCGTACGCCACAACATTCGCACACGCAGAAAGCGTGTGGCAGACAAGTGATGACCTTGAAGTCAGCTTCCTGCTCGTGGCTTTGTGGTTGAGCCCTCCTGAGAGTGGACACCCCTCTTTATTCCCTGTGATATGGTGTTGACCCTGGGTTGCTCTCCCCGCCCATCCGGGGTAACATTCCGCCCTTCTACCGCTTATCTACATTGATTCCTCGAAGGAAATGCTGAAGCGTCGCGGCCGAGCCTAAATCAAACACACACACAAAAAGGAACCTTTGGTATGCACCCCTGGTATGAGCATGAACCCCTAGTTTGTTGGTTGCCCACGGCTAAACAACACATACACACAATTCCCAAAGCTAATTTATTGTGAGAGTTGGAACCGCACCACCGAAAGGGTCCGGGAACCATGAAAGTTTCACACCTTACTATTCCCTTGCCATGTCCGAATTTAGTGAACACCAAACCCCTAAACCCTTAAACCCACAACGCCCCTACAATACAAACCCACGTTTCCAACTTTGATTAAAAAAAAAGAACAAACACAACCCCCAATTCCCTCCCCCCCCCACCCCCCGACAAAAAAAAAAATCAAAACTGCTAAAAGTCCTTCAACACCCCCTCAAAACCCCTAAGAATCCTTGAGCAAACCACAAAGCGCATCCCTTCAATGAGTCCCCCCCCCCGAAACAACAAAGAAGAAAAACAGACAGCAAACAACAGAAACAAACAAGAGCTCTTGTAAAAGAACCTGGGACTTCAATGACAGACAACTCAGAATTAGTGCCTTCAATGATTCCCCCCCCCAAAAAAAAACAAAACCACGCACACACACCCACAAAACAAATACAAACACATAAGAATCCGGAGTCTGGCATTGGTTTCTCAGGTCTCTGCTTCGAGATTGCCGCCGCCTCGGTCTTGGCGAAGGTCACGCGGGACAGGCCCAGGGATTTACGACTCCGTTTTTCGGCCGATGGGAGGCGATGGGGCGGTTTTGGGACCCCGTCCCACTTGGCCCCAAGGGAAGTTTTCAACAACTGCTTGGTCCATTTCTGCAAGTGGCCTCTTGGGCTTGCCTTGTTTTTTTGGGGAGCTCACGGGTTGGCCGAACTCTTTTTTTTTTTGTGCTCGGTTGGGGGGTTTTCTCGACATTGGGGACCAAGTCCTCCAAATGATTTCCTTTTGGTTCCACCTACAATCCCAAAAGGGGACCCTATGTTGCGCAAACCCCAAATGGCTTTTCCATGAAGCCCGCACAAGGTTTTCTCGATCTCCAGAGCAACCTTAAAACATGTGCGGGTGGATTTGGTTTTGAGAGAAGGACGTTAACAGAGGTAACTTTTTGCCAACTAATTTCCATTAAACCACTAAAAGTTAAACTTTTAGCAGGGGAGCAAGAAAGCAACCGAGTTGGCTTCAATCATGGAGAAAGGATCTTACCTGATCATGGCGTTGCATGGCCTCGGCGCATTGCCAGCGTTCCGAGGGCTCCCGTTTTGAAGTTGCATGTGAACAGCTGAGCCAATGCTCGATCGCTTTTGATGGGGGTTGTCTTGATTTTAGGGCACGCCCCTTTTTGGTTGGGTTTTGAACGGCAAAATGAGCAACATGTTGCCCGTTTGACACATACCCCAGGAAGATTCAAGCTGCCCCTGCGTTTCGTTGCCGTGGATTTGGACTAGACTTCATGATGCTAAATAGGTGTTCCATCGTATCTGACTTTTGGAAGTGCAGCTGGTGATTATGGCATGGGTTCTTTCTGAGTTTTGGCCTTAGCTTCATCAGGTCAGCGGTTGGTCCATAGCCTTTGGGTTCTTTACATTTCCCATACTTTGGGCGGCCAAAATCCACAGGAAGCGCACCAGTTGGGATGGATCGCCTCGACAATTTTTGGCCATTTTACGGGGCACATGGCGCAAGCAAGACAAAGGCATGGTTCACTTACACACGCATATATATATATATATATGCATAGGTGTATATATATATATATATACACATACATATATGATATTTCCATGTATGTGTATGTATATACATATGGTCACCCCCCCCCCCCCAGGGCCTACCTTTGCCCTCTTCTAGTTGAAGGTGTCAACTCTACTCTGTGTGCCTCTTTCTTGCAGATGCTTGAAAACACTGTAACATACAGTGTTTTTGTTGTTTTTTACCTTCTATGTGACAGCAAATGTGTGATTATTTGAGGCTTGAAAGGCAGCAAAGCGAAAACGGATTCCGTTTTCAGATTCGAGCCTGGCTTTGATTGAATCACCGGTTTTTACAGTGGTTTTGAGTACACCAGGGAAAAACATTGAACAAATGATGTTTTTGGCAGCTTTGAGCTCTGCAACCTGCACAGACCCAAAAGCACAAAATCTCCTGAAAATGAAAGCTCTGAGACCTGCACATGCCAAACACATCTCCAGACCAAGTTTGGGAGTCTGGGGATATGTGCCCTTTATTTGTTTAGCCACATTTAAGCTAAATCATATTTGGGAATGAGTTACTATTAAAATTTGATTGCAAAGGCCAAGTGATTTCTTTCCAGAATAAGCTATATTCCAATTCAAGCTGTATTTGGGGATGGATTCTTGATTAAATTATTATGTTCAAAAGCTAATTGAATTCTGTCTGCATTAAAGTATATTTGGATTCTACTGCAATCATATTTTCCTTATTTGGAAAGGTATTCCTGTTCAAATTCTGATCTAATATAGACATTATGGTGAATTATGAATGGTGGTGAACTATGTGCTTACTAAATTCTATTCAATATGCAAATTCAATTCGGATCAAAATCGTATTTGGAAAGGAATGTGTACTTGGATATGTTGGACTCCAGGCTCCAAATTATGAGGCTTGGAGAATCCAACATTTTCCAGATTCTAGGTTTCAGGTGTTTCAAATTGGACATTTCAAGGGATTAGAGATCCAACAAAATGCTGTAAAACACAGTGTTTTGCAGCAGTTGCTCAGATTGTGTTCCCTTGGACCGAATGGACAGCCTTTGATATAACAGTGCAGCAGTGATGACACACCCACACACAATCATCAACCTTTTAGGACCACATGCCCAAACCACATCAAACAAGGCCTCAAATGAGTGTCCTTTTTTTCCCCAAACAACAGTCTCCACTTGCTACGCAATAAGCCTACAGAAGGTTTATAAACTTTCAGGAAAGTTTATAAACCTTATTGAGTGTTTGACGAGTTTCCCGCGTCAAGGCAACAACACCCTACGAAGTGTTCATGGTATCGTTGAAGGATGGGGGGTTGGTTGGAAGTCTTTGAGAGACTCCCCCCCCCCCCCCCCCCCCCCCCCCCCCCCGTAAAGAGTTCTGACCCCCCCTGCCCTTGTTGCAGGGAAACCGTCAAACCCTTGACATGGTTTATACACTGTCTTGTAAGTTTATAAACTCTTTGCTGTTGTTACTCAACATGACTTGTCACCCACAAAAAAATATGCAGCAACAGCACACTTCTTGCGTATATATGCTCACACGCCCTGTCTTTTAAAATAAGAGGGTTTTGTACATTTTGAAGTGCAAAGGTAGGCCCTGGGGGGGGGGGTGAGCATATATATATATATATATATCGAGTAATACATGCATAGATGTGTACATGCATACATATATATATATAGGTATATGTGTGCATCGATAGAATGTTATGTGAATATCCGATGAACCATGTATTTGAAACAAAACAAGATAATGGGATAGCTTTAAAGTGGAAACAAGGGGGAACCATGCAGTTGCGGGGATTGTTGTAAATACTTACAAGGGTTTCCATGCGGTAGGACCATGCCTCGCTCACTTAAGGGATACATTCAAAAACTCATCAGCTGATTTAGAGGATCCGCTTGTACGGGTGGTGCCTTTTGGATGTATCCTTGGAAGGAACCCTGTTTACTGCACTCCCTTCTTGTTAACTTTACCACACTTCCTTCTTATTAACTTTGTAGGTTTATGACTCCTTCCCTTGAATCCTTGTACTCAAGGAGTCTATCTCTTAGGTTTTGCAGACGGATTCGCGCATCAACCGGTCTCGCACGCTCCGCGCCACTCGGGGTGGCCAGGTTGATGGTCCGGATGGACCGGGCATACCCCTCCTATGGCTTCGCGGCACACAAAGGCCAGCGTCCACTTAAATAGGTCAACCCCCAACAAGGGTCAACTGGGACAAGTGCCGGCCAATTGAGCGATCATCCGGGTTGCATTTGCGTACCCCTTTTTTTCCACTATGTAGGTTGGTACCTCCAGTTCAAGGTGACTGTAGATGTATTGTCGGGGGACGACTTCAGGCACGTAAGTCTTTTGCTGGATGGTGGGTTGACAGAGGTCAAAGTTGTTCAACGAAAGGCGGGCAGGTTCATACGGCTGCGACCCGGGTTTGGCCGAATTTTTAGGAACTGAGGGATAGAAGGGGGGGTTGTCTCAGAGTAGGATTTGCTTTCTTGTTCTCCCCTAAAGTGGTTGGTTTCTTTTGCTTTCCCTTTAAACCCCCAAAATTGTTACCCTCAACACCCCAATAAAGGATTTTGGTTTTGTTTTCCTGTAAAACCACCCCATGGGGAAGACACACCCGTGTTTCGATACTTCTGGGCTTCAACTCTGCTTTGAGGCGCGCAAAATGGGACAATGCCTTACGCAAAACGTACTGGTCAAGGAATAGAAACAGTGTTTTTGGTGCATTTTGATTGGATGTTAGGACTTTAACTTTTTGCCAACTAATGGGTTTTCTATTAAGCCACTACAAATTCAACTTTTAGCAGGGGAGCAGAAAGCAACCGAGGTGTGTAAGATGCCGCTTTTGCACTTTGCCAGTCTTCCAGTTTGGTAACTGACTGGGATGCTTCAACTTGCAGGGGATGAGGTGGAAGCATCCCTGCTGAGCAATTCATACCCAGTTTCAAGGGTGCGACGTGATGCACGAATATCCCTACAGGGAACCCCATACTGAGACTGGTGAAGGATTCGCCCAATACCATCCTTTTGGGCCAGATTGCTTCTCGAGTTGTGAAGATAGTGCTGCGAAAGTTGGCATGCAATGCCCAAAAAACATATTTTCTCAATAAAGCTGAGCTTATTTGTTTTTCACGTTACTGCTCGGAGTAGGCTTGGGGTCTGCAACGCCGGCGCTCTTGGCATTTTCCACATTGCCTCCCGACCTCTGGCAGTCAACTGTATGTTTGTTTTTGGAGGGAGCATGACTTGGGGAATCTGATTCCGTTGCCTTGCACAAGTTTGCACTGGCACTGCGATTCAGGAACTTGGCGAGGTTGAACCCCCTAAATTTGCGCCTTGTATGCCAGCCATGCAGCCCTTTTTGTAAGCTCCCACTTGGTTTTCCATTGCGGAGGCGTGACCTGGGTATAACTCTGGAACCTTTGATATTTATCGTGTCAGTTTTTGATTTTGCCAGGGTTGGACAAACTATGATTAAAGAACCAACTCTGGACCCCTTGTAAATGCTATTGTGGTTGAAACCATTGTTTCAACAAAAGGTTGAATGGCCCAACCTAGGCCGACACGCGCACTTCCCCCGCGTTTGAGTGACAATCAACACCTGGTAAGTGAAGGTTGGAAAGGGACCGTCCCAACAATAAAATAGCTGCAACCGTCCTTTTCTGATTCGTTACTTGGGTAGATTTCTTGAATGTCAGTGGCCACATGGTTGAGGGCGCTTCCAGAAAAGGGTCGAATACCAGGTGCGGGGGTTGCCAAAATTAGGGTCCTTTTTGGTTTTAAAGGAGGAGAAAAAGGGGGTGGCATGGTGCGAAGAGGAACCGGCCATCTTTCGCCGATTCACGCCCAAAGGTGTGGTTTTCCTGAACGCGAAAAAGCACTCCCATGTATGGGAGTTTCTCAAAATGGTGGCATTCTTTTGTTTGGTAAAGATATTTAGCGGGAAACCAGCTACAAAGGAAGCCTACCCTCACAAAAACACACATAGAACCTGCACAGGGGTTCCTGGAAGAAAATTTCAGGGGACGGGTGCCTCTGCAGGTTCTATGTTTTGTTTCTTTTGGTATACGTCCGCTTGCTTGCTCCTTTTGAGGGTATTCCAGTAACCGGCTCCTGTGTCTATGGCTACGGAATTTGATTCCTACGGATAAACAAAACCCATTTCACACCACTCGCAAACCATGGTTGAAACCATAACGATGGTTGGCATTTAAAAAAAAATACAGGGGAATCGACTCACAAACCAGTTGTTTTTTTCCTTTTTCAGTGGCGCGAAGTGCGGATTTCGCAGCCATCCCACAGACCTTCGTCCATGTCTCCATCGGGGTCACTTCGCTTCCGGCCAGGCTACGGCACCGCGGCGCACCAGGCGCGGGGTCGGGGTGGCTCGGGGCCGGTTTCTGGGGGATCGCCCGGGGCCCCTCAAAACGGGTTTCGATCAAAAGCAGTTTTTTTGGGGGGGTTGAAGTGCGGGCTTGTTTAGGACACGGTAGTTTTTAGGGGTAAGAGTGCGAGTTTGTGTCCCTTGGAAATCTGTCCGGCCTTTCCAAGGGGGGAGGAAAGATACGGTGGATGTCAACTCGATATTGCAAGTAAGCAAAAACAGAGATGGGAATTTGTCCAGGGTTTCCTTTGTTCCATACTTGCAAAGTTTAAGGCATCCATCATACTTCCTTGAAATTGAACATGTTGAGGGCTTTTCAAAGAATACTTTAGTCGTTTCCCTTTGGACCACCTTTCGGAGGGAAATGCTTAGTATCATTGAGAATGTTGTATGTATTTCCCACTGGGTTGAAAGGGAATCTATCACTGGACATGATTTCTCTTTTCCCAGACGACCTAAGCAAGTTGGACAATGTGTTTTTTCTGTGTCGATGTGGGCCTACTTGCTCCCCTGCAAATTAGCATGTACCCAACACGCCGGGGGGGGAAGGGTCCTCAAAGATTGTTCCTGTAAGAATGGAGCCAGTTATCGTAGTTCCATGTCAGAACTGATTGGCCAGGATCGTTTGGGGGTTAAACGCTTAGCACTCCTAGAAGGGGTTTTTTGTGGCCCCCCAAGGTCCATTCCAAAACCCATAGTAAGGGTTGGAGTCTGAGGGAATCTGGGAATTTGCCTGGAGCCCCCAAAACACCAGAATTCTCACAGAACCTTTTTGTGGGTCAGATTCTGTGTGTGGAAAGACTCCGGGGTTTACCTTTCAACAAAACTCTTGGGCAGGGTTCTGAGCGCCATTCTGTTGGGTAGGGGAGCCCAATCATAAGCCCTAAACTTTCACCCAACTGTGTTGCTACATGGTCCATTTGGGAGATTCTCAAAATGGGTTTCGGACCCCTTTTGCTTGTTTGCTTGGCATAAGGGAAACCAAACATTTTGGGTGCCAAAATTCAGTGGACCAAATCCTGCATTGTTGGCGACCCCGAACAGCAAAAGCCCCAAAATCCGGTAGTCAATATCCTGGACCACTTGATGGATGACTACTGCCCTGAATATTGTGTATGGCCGAAATCCTGCACCACCTAAGAAACCCTGGAATGATTCGATTCTCCTGAAATACCAACAAACCTTCTGGTTTTCCCAAAATCCAACTTAGGTGGTGCGAAATGGATTTTGCAACCATCCACAGCCAAAAGCCGTGATTTGTGGAGGGCATAGCGCCAAAATGTGAGGTGCGCAGTGCTTGTTGCGAGCTGGCAATATGGTTGAGTAGAAGTTAGGGTTCTGCATGTCTGAAAGCCGGTGATTTTTGGGGGCAATCCACAGTATGGACCCCCAAAAGCCATGATCTGTGGAGCCCCCCCAAACAAAAATCCTCGGCCTCTGCTGAACCCGGGGGGCCGAGAACTCGGCCCCGAAATCGCCCCAGGCGGCGCTGAAGCGGCTGGGGCCCTGCGCGGAGCACCGGAAGAGCTTCGAGCCGGTGAAGGCGCGGTGGGGTGAGCCTCGTGTGTGTGACACGCTCAGCTGTGTATAAAAGGGGTTGGGGGCTTTGGGGGTGCGGTGCGGGTGGGGTGGGGTGGGTAAAGGCAAGATCAAGAAGCTGTCATCCCTTGTACCTTTGGGGAATGGTCATTTTGTTGCTGCCACAAACGTGCTGCGCAGGCGCTTTTTGTTTGTTTTTGTTTTTATAAGGGGATCCCTGTGTACTTCCATGCTGAACAACGCCGATGAAAATGCCCAGGATTCATCTTGCCCTTGCGTGCCAATCCTTTTCGTCGTGCATTCTCCTTCAGCCCTCACCCTGTTGAAATGATGCCGTCTTTGTTTACTGCGCTCGCATTTTTAAGCTAAAGGTGGACCCCCCCATTCTTTCACCTATCGTTCCTTTGTGAGAAGCCCCATCAGGCAAAGGATGCCGAGACTGGGGGAGCTACAGCTCGATGGTTTTGAGCCGTACGCTTTGTTCCTCTCAAAAAAGGAGTGCCCCAAAGAACTCCCACTTTTGGCTGGGGTTTCCACCTGAGAGCAGAGTGCTTTCTCCAAATCCCATGGTCATGGTGCCCAAACCCCCCCTCTGGCACTCCCCCCCCCCTCCCCACGTTCGCCGAATCGATTCGCCTCGCGAGACCTTCCTGGCCAGCGGGAAGTGGCAGAGCAGGGCCAAGCGTCTCAAGCGCTGAGCGAAAGAAACCCGGGCTGCTCAGCCGCCTCGTTGTCGTCAAACCCGGATGGGTTTGCGGATTTTTCAGGGCTTGGTTTAAAGGGAGACCAAAAGGACGCATTTGGGAGGGGGGGTGCCTCTGGTTTAAGACCTTTTAAGACACATGTGTCCGGGGCACGTGTTTTTCATCATGGCAAAAGCTACAGAAATGATGTACGAGCGAGTTTGGCGAACAGCAAAACCCTTTGCGCCATGACCTGGCCACACGGATGCGCTGCGTTTTGTTCGTCTTTTCAGGTACGCCTTAAGTGGTTTGCGGTTTGACCCCCCGCTTCCGTGGGGAAGGTATCAAATCTAACATCCAAACCACCAAACCAAACCACTAATTAGGGGTGAGGTGATCTTTTGGGTGGTTTTAACACCACTCCTTTGAGCAAGTTTGAAATAAGTTCTGCTTGGGCGAGGTGATGTGAGCTTGATGTAGGTCCTGTACTCGGAGTTTTGAAGTGGTAATTTTGCAGATGACTTTCACTCAGGTAACCCTGAACTCAGTCGTTCAAAGCCGACCTTTTGACCTTTTGGTTTTCCCCTTGTGGCCCATTTTTATTTTTCCAGGTCCTTTGGGCGAATTGGCGGATTGGATTGGTGATTTGGGAATTCGAAGCCCAGTTCCTTAGAAGCCAAATGGGGAGGGTACCAAGCGTCCAAACCACCAAACCAAAGCACTCACTTACGGTAGGATGATTGACGTTGATGGAGGCTCTTGCTTCGTGAGCAACAATGCTGCCCCCCTAAGGCCAACTAGTCAAGGCCCCTTTTAGAAACAGGCTGATTCAGCAATTCAGCAACTCGGTCACCATTGGGCATCGACCCCATGAATGAGCAAATGAGATGAGGATGGAAGGACTTGGGCTCATCTTCAAGGAGATGGATTCGTAACAAAGACTCAAGTTTCCTGTATCTGCTTTGGGGTCTGTTCTAGAGGTCTGTGTACGATGCTGAACCCGTCGTTCTCTTGCGGATCCAATCGATCCAGCTGACCCACGATCCGGTCGCCGAGAATCGTTTCACCCGGGGAGAGTTTGGAAGGCTCCGGCGGGCCATCGACTGCGCAAAGGGCGGTGAGGTTTGGTCGAATAATGTAGCAGGCAACCCTAAGTTGGTGCTTTTGGATTTGGATTTAAACCCCCGGTTCTTGTATGGGGTTTTATAAATGAGACAAAACAACTAACCAAACCACCAGGCTCCAAGCCGCCCGCTTTGAGGGAAGCTGATTCATGGCCAGGCACATGGAGTGACTATTGGCCGCTGCATGCTCGGTGCTTCGCGCGCATGCTATTGTTTGGTTTCAGAGCCGCCAGGAGCCTCCAAACCGCTTAGGGTTCTTCAACCTGCGCGGCAGGGCCCCGCCGCTGGTTGTGATTCGGAAAGAGCTGCGAGTGGTTGTGACGTTTCGCCGGAGGGCCGACGACATGGTTGTGACCGTTTGCAGAATACTTCTCGTGTCTGACAGTTTAGTGTCATTTTGTTTGGAAAGAGATGGACAACGCTTTCATTTAGTGACAACTTTGCAGCCAATGGAGGACTCACTTCCTGAGTTCATGAACTTTACACTTTTTAGGAAGACCATTTGCGGTAAATAAAAAGTTTGTACTTTTCTTGGGCCATCCACTCAGCCAGTGAGGGAAACCACGGTGCTTCGTGCGTCCTTGGCCAGCTCAACATGGCCGGCCTGGCCGTCGAAATTGGAGCCACGAGCCGGAAGGGCCCCACCGTCAGCTATAAACATGGTAGACCTTTTTGGTTGCCTTGGACAGTAATCCACCTGGCCAGATGTACCAAATGCGGTTGGAAGGCACAAAGTTATACATATATATATATATACAAATATATGTATATGTACAAATACATATATATATATACATATATATATACACATATCTTGTACATGCTGGGGCAATCATTTTCCAGTGGTTTCTTCAGATCTCGACTCTTCCTCATCATTTTCTCATGGTTTCCTATTTGTTTTTTCAAGAGTTGTCCAGTGTTGTCCCAATCGTTGCTCAATCGTTTCGCAACGGCTTCCTCCATAGTTTCTTCCATGGTTTCCCCATGGTTCCCCCAGCAATGTTTCGCAATCGCTTCCCAATCATTTTCCTCATCGCTTCTCCTTGTTTTCCAATCCTGTCCCAGTTTATCGTAAGCCATTGTTTCCCATCAGCTTCTCATTCCCAATCAGTTCCCGTTTCCCAATCCCGTGCCAGTTCCTTCCCATCGTTTGCTCACCTCTTCAGTGGGTCCTCTCCGACGGAACCGGCCGCAGTTTCCGTCCCAAAAGGTCGCCGGTCGCCGGGCGAAGTCGACCGCTCGAGCGCGCGCAACGCGCGCGCGCGCGCCTTCGCAGGGCGTCCTGCAGCACCAGCTGCGGGGTGGGCGAGCGGCGGAGGGAGCGGTCCATCGCGCAGGAGGCGGCGGGCAGGGGGGGAATGCCAGCAGGGGGACGGTGGAATGCCGTGGGTTTTGTCACGGGTAAAGCGAGTCTCCTACGTTTTTTTGGGGTCTGTCAGTTTGTTTGGGGTACCCCATTTTGGATAGTTTTATGGTGATTCTTTTTGGGTACCGTTTTTTGGGATGGTTTGATAGAGAGAACGAAAGGACAACCATCCATTTTGGGGGTCCCCTGGAAAAGGCAGACCCATGTATTGTATTGCAGGGTAAACTAAATATGGGCCAACTGAACATGTGAATTTCCGTTGCCGCGTTTTCTCTAAAACAAAAAGGAGCGAAGTCGTCACTGGGAGGCTTGTGCAATACTTTGAATGGGGGTACGTTGAAACCAAATGAAATTATAAGAGAACAAGTCAGAAATTGTTTGCCCACAGATGCCCAAAGTGTTGGCAAGATTGAACACCATCTTTTTTTGGGTTCTGACTGGCAAAGCCAGGGAATCCCCTCGTTTGCCGCATTTTGAATGCCCAGAGGCAGGGAAACCCAAAGAGAAGGTTTGAGCGACAGTGGCTCAATGTTTAAACAAGTCCAAGCCCAATCCTGGGGGAAGTGGGGCTGGGAGTGGGGAGAGGGATGAACTAGATCTGGCTTTTCGAGGCCATCAAAGCTGGCAGACGAGTGATTCAACGCAAACACATTGAGTGGCCCCTCCCTGAGTGTGAGCAGCATCACTCATCCGCACCGCATGTCGAGCTGATCCAAGCATGCGTAGCATTTTGCGAACTAGCAAGGGGGTCCCCCTGCTCATTTGCACATGTTGCGTGATGCCATCTTGTGACGCCAAGCTGAATTTGGCGGAGGAAAGCCTATGGAGTCTTTGGCCAACGAGCTAAATTCCTGCAGTGTCCGGCTTAGAGAACACAGGCTATCAGCCGATCAAATCACTGCAACATGATGCGTCGGAATATGCGGGGGCTCCGATTTTTTAGAATGGGTTTGAAGGAAGCCAGACCCGCCACCCGCCCGAACAAAACAGGGAAGTACCAGACAGCCAAAGACGGAAAGCACCAAGAAGGAAACCCGCATTGACCATGAGCAGTTTGGTCGCACGTGGGGAAGGGTTCCCAATCACCGTGCATTTAGTTCCAAGGACGCCTCTACTTCAGGGACCAGAAAAGATGACACGTGCGCGACACGGGGTTTTGCCCATTTCAGGCTGCAAAGGGGACACAAACCAGATTCGGCAAGCCCCGCCCGAATGGGCGATGGCTTTTGCGGAGAAACTGCAGCATCACGTGGACTGCCTCAAGGCCGCCTGCGATCCGGCGACATGTCGATTCGCGTTGGAAAAGCAGGGTTCAAACGGGGCGTGGGTTTTTGGTGGGTGGCCTTTTCATCTTGGTTTTAAGGATGCCAAAAGTTTCACCGCCATTTTGAGTTTGTCTCAAAATAGGGGACCCCCAAAAAAAGAGGTGGTTTTCCTTTTGGTTTCCCTTCAACGCCAGAAAAGGATACCCTCAAAGAAAGAAAATACACACCCCTTTTGGGGCATTCCCTGTTTGACGCAAACCCAAATGTTGAACGCGGAAGAATAAATTCATGAACCCGGTGGAGTCAATCAGTTGGGGTTAAAATGACCACGCATGTACCTATCATACAGGTATTCTTTTTGGGCTTCCCTTTCAAGTAGCAAGATGTTGTCTTTCCGGGGTCTGTCGGTTTCCCACCCTCAACGAGCCTAATCCAATGCAAATGGGTGTGTGTTTTTGAGGCTTGGTACATGTTCAGGTTTCGAGGGAAGCCAAAAGGAAGCAGCTCAGTTGTTGGGGGCCCCGAAATCGACTTTGAGACACACCCAAATCAATGCCATGCCACACCTCAAATGCCCCCTAAGCTGAGGCTATTGTTGCTCTCACAAATCAATCAAAGCCTAGGTCCCCAAGTAGTGCCCTTTTACCCTTTTTTGGGGGAGGGTTCCCGTACTAAGAAAGATTACAGAAATATTAGGGTACCCCCACGTTAGGGATTCCCTTGGTTTGCCCAGTTGAGTTTACATCTTAAAGTTTTTCTAATGCAGACCAGATGACATTGAAGAAGAAGATGCAGAATCTGGTGGACAAACAGGGAGACATTCAGAAAGTAAGAAGTTGATGGGCAGGTAAAGGCTTCCTTTTGCTCTTTGGAACTATACAGATTTGTCCGACGAGAGGTGGGCAGCAGAGAGGTCGGGAGCAGCGTGAACCCACGTTCCCGAACCTCGCACGTGGTTGCTGGATGTGCGAGCGGCTGCTGGTCATCGTGCTCATGGCCCTGGTCGGGCATTCGTCCTTCAAGGTTTGGTGCTGCAAAGAAGAGTCTACGTCCATGACAACCCCCTTCATGGACGTGAGCAGCAGGAAATGCTGTGGGAAGCTAGGGCAAATGCACGACCATGGGTTTTGGGTTACTTCCAGAATCACTACCCTCGGTTTCACGGGATACACAACCATTTAGGCCCTAGGAGGGTATCTACCCCGTTTTCTCCCAGGTCCCGGTGTTGCTCGGGAAGCCACCTCACCGATCTTAAGTGGGACACTGCCCAACAAATCAACCAGCGGTTATGAATCCTGGGTTTCGATTAGCAGGTTTCTTCGACCCCCCCCCCCAAATTCAAGAGCAAACACGAAGAAGAAGAAGAAGAAGAAGAAGACGCAGAAGAAGAAGAAGAAGCAGAAGATCACCAACAGCACGCCCGAAAGCAGAGCTCCACGGAGCAACCAAAAAAATGAATGGACTCCGTTCCCATGCGCCTCTGGTTTCTTACAGAAATGAAGGGTCACAGGTTCCAATCTGATTAGACCACTTTCTGGCGTAGACCACTTTCTGGCGTAGACCACTTTCTGGCAGGGATTCGGCTATCTACAACATGTACCACTCAGTGTCTGAAAAGAACTGGGGGGAATTCTTGAAATTTCTTGAGAGATGATGGGTGAACAACCCATGGATCTTCCGGCTCAACCGCCCCTTGTTTTGCTTGCACGAGCGCCGCACGTCTCGTAGGCCACTCTGCTGCAAGAGTACGAGGCGGAGCTCCGGTCAGAGCTCCGGTCGGCGCGCCCAGATGGAGAGCTCGGAGCGGCTCGGAGTTGGACGAAGTCCACAAAAAGCACCTTAGATCATCTTTGTTTCTTTTTGGCCAGAATTGAACAAATAGGAAAACGTGAATAAAAATGCGGCCTTGGGTTTTATCCAATTTTCTCAGTAATTGAAGGAGGAAAGAAGCCCAACCGCCTGGAACCCTCCGAAACCCTCAAGCTGCCCCGAGCCACCCCAGAGCCTGGGCGGCCCCATAGCTGTCGGTTGGGGGAAAACCTATGGGATGGGTCCTGGGATGGATGAGGCCAAGTTCCGCAAAACAAAGAGCCATCTACCAACTTATGCGGAGCGGAGTTTGTCCATGCACAGTTCCGAGTTCCTGTAAAGCGGCCCCGTTGCAAGCCTCGTTACAGGCCCAACTCCAGCCCGGGCCAGTGACCCCCCTTTTTGCTTTTGCTTCGCTTGCGTTGAGCAGTGCAATTGTCAAGCTGGAGCTGCGGAGTGTTATTTATTGCTTGGACCTGGAATCGGGGAGAAAAAAGGAGGCCGCCCAGTTAGCTTTGGTGTTTGGATCTTAACATGGCGGAGACAAAAAGTGGGCCGCCCTGCATCGAGTGGTTGATGTCTGATCTTGAAATGGGGAGATATTTCAGGGGCCACCCAGTGTTTAGTGCCCCCTCCATTGAAAAAGGGCGCTAAAGCCTGGAAAAATTGGCTCAAGGAGTCCAACCTTTTGGGAACACCCGAAAGCAAGACTGAGAATAAGAACACTGGTATTCTCTGGCACCTTAAACATGAGGGAGGGGGCTTCATATAACCACCACGTTTTTCAGCAGGAGTTTTATCATCCAAACTGTGCCAACGACTGTTCAAATTTGAATTGGGGGTTGTCTGAGTGACATACGCAGGTTCTTTGTCGTTCTGCGCTACATTGTGCTGCTGATACTTGTCAGACATTTTTTTCGCGCTAAAGACCTGCGTGACAAGGACCATCGCCCGTTGCACACCCTCAACCAAAAATAGCCATATCAAGTGGTGGGTTGTGTCCATCCACGGTAGATGTCCTTTCTGATGGGTTGCTACCTGGGTACACACCAGAAACTAGATATCCGACAACGCATGCAGAAGCAAGAGCGCCCCATTCTTGAGCCACCCCATTTTGAGACCTACCCATCTATGGTTGCCCCCTAACTCAACGAACCCGCATTCCTACCAGGAAGGTTCTAGGCCCCGTCTACGTCAAACATTCAAGGAGTAGTTCTTGTGCAAAGGACTCTCCCCCACAACTTTGGAGAAAGGACTTCACATTCAGCCAAATGTTTGCTTGACATCTGCCAGAATGTGGTTCATATTCGTAACCACTCCAGGTTTACCTCAGAAAAAACTGGAACTGGCCACGCAGCATGAACCTGGTGAAACCATTTTTTGTTGGTATTTGCAGGGGAGTCGCACCATTCCAGGGTTCTTAGGTGGTGCAGGATTTTGTCCATCCACAGTAGTAAGGAGCGTCTTTCACATAGGCAGCCATTTGCTACCCAGTTGCCAGAATCCACTGGCAAGAACACGGATTTGCCCTCGTTGGCTGAAGCCACTTGCCAGAACATATTCGCCTCTTGCAGAATTTGCCAGATCCCCTTGCAGGCTGCCAGAAGTTCAATCCCTTTCGACCTTCTCTGGCGTTTTTTGCTGCTCCTCTGGTAGTACTCTTTGAATGCCCGACAGGGTGGATGCACGGATTCACCGCATCCAAGCCGTTTCGAGATTCGTTCGTTCGATGGACAAAATCCACGTGCCAGTTGGTAGGTGGCTTGTCTAGCCTAGGGCTAGGGTGGTATGCTGTGAACTGATGCGAAGTGGATTTGTCCATCCGCAGAGGTCCTTTGGTGGGACCTTGGACCTTCCAACCTTTCAACCACCATTGGCCTCACCAGCGACCCCCGCACGACGTTGTTTTTTCCATGCAGTACCCAAGTCTCCAAAAAAGCCGTTGTTGGGGAGTGCACCTGTTTGCACTCATCAAGCCACATGGTCATTCTGACCCCTGATTGACAACCCTACTCAGCTATAAACAGATTTTTTCACCCCCCCCCCCCCCAACCGCTCAGAAAGGATTCCCACCTCCAACCCCCCACTCAGAAAAAGGGGGAGGGGGGGTGACCGGGTGATCCCTGATTGATCCGCGTCCGTGCCAGGGCGCCTCTCAGCAGCCGCCGGGAGATCCGGACAGATTTTTTGAGTGCGTCTTAAAATCGGATACGGACCCCATCCCCCCAAAAAAGAGGGCGCACTATATATATATATATATACACACACACACCCTTTCACCAATGAACATGGAGCCCGGGGGATCCTGGAAGGCAATTTCCTTTGAAAGGGTACCCCCTGTCAGGTTCCATGTCAATATGTGGGATGGTAGTGAAGTTCCTTTCGGTCTCCCCTTACAAACCGCACCAGAAAAGGGTAGCCTCAACAACAGGGCGCGCCCATTTGGGTGCCTTCCCTCCAATCATAGAAGCTGACACGAGAGGTTTGGAAGACTACTTTCCTTTTGCGAGAATCCCCTTTCCCTTTACTCGCGCCCTGAGTCACTCTAGTCGCATTTGGGAAGACAAGTTGAGGGGCAAAAACAAACTTTGGACTTCTTGGGGCCTCTCAGGGAGTGGGCTTGGCTTGATTTGGATATGGGTCATAACCCAAATCGTACCCCCAGCAAACATCCGGTTCAATCCCCCACCAACATAGGTTCTAGCATGGGGGGTGAATTCACCTGTCCCAAAATGGGATCCTATTGGTTTTGAACCATGGCCCATTTGGATATGTCGGTTTTTGAGGGTATGCCCTTGTCTTCTTGCTTTACAAGGACGTCCAAAAGAAGCCACAACGTGTTGGTTCCCCGTTTTAAGACACACCCACTTGGGTCGTTTGTGTCTTGAGCTGACAGGAGTCTCTTGCTGGGATACTGTGTTGGCATGAGCCGTGGGGGAATCGAAAATCATGTCCTTGGGTTTCTGAACGGTCTGACATCTCGCCACCCTCCGCGGCCGTATGGTCTCCAGTGGCTTGCCATCTCAGGCGCTGCTAATTCTGTGGCTTCAAAGTCCACAAGAAAAAGAGTGGGGGCAACACCGCCGGGCTGGCTCCGCATCACTTCGACTTTGAGGTCAGGGTTCCACTTTTCGCTTCAGATGTTGGTTTCACCCAGGGAGAGCGGAAAAGGTAGCATTTGACACCTAACAGAACGTGAAACCCAAAGGCGATTTGGTCGGGGATCTTTCGACTGGACATCGGCTTCAACCACCTTTGGGTTTCAAGTTCTGTTAGGTGTCCAATGCTACCTTTTCGGTTCTCCCTTTGGTTGAAACGGTGCATTTCCCATTGGACACTCGACAAGTCATTAGACTTTTTGCAGGGAGCACCCAAGACACCTGCTCGAATTTGGGCCACAGGTGATGTTGCAACCCCCCCCCCCCCCCAAAAAAAAAGAAGGAAGGAAAGAGAAAGAAGAAGCAAAAAAAGGGGAAGGGGAACTGGACACCCAAACAGGGCTTGGAAACGACACCTGTTCCGGGTGAATCCAAAAAACCAAAAATAAAAAAGCGTCGAGCTAACTCGTTCCGGCGGGGAAAGGGCCAAGAAAATCGGCTCCTTCAGGCTGGGCCCAAGGCCTCACCTGCGGCTCCCTCGAGAAGTGCCGGGGAGCCCCGGGGGGGGCGAGCGCCGTTTGGGCGCGCGGGGGGATTTGGGGGCGGGCGGCGAGCGGGGGGTGGGAGCCAACCCTGCCACTCGGCTTCCTTCGGTTTTTTTGTGTTCCCCCCCGAAAAGGGTGGCCCGGCAAAGAAGAGAAGACACTCGGATTCTTTTTCAGACCTACCACAGAAGTGGACACTCCCGAAATCATCCGGGGCGCAATCAAAGTCACACTCCTTCAGCGCGGTAAGGGACACCATTTCAGATGGCGAAGGCCGCCAGAGCGGGGGCAGGGGGATAGGAGATAAACCCACAGGAACTTGGAGATCCTGCGCCAGGTGACATGCGTTTCTGGGATAACTGGAGTTAGCAAACTCTGAGGCTACATGGCCACGTATACCTGACGGTTGAATATAACAGTTGGAACCAGTGGATTCAACATACCCCCCCCTCCCCCCAGTTTTTGAGGGAAGGGGCCCCGAAATAGATCCGCGAAGCAGAGAGGGGTGAGTTCTTTTCCCCTGAACTTATCCAGAGTTCAAGGGCCTACAACTCCTTTGGTCTATTGCTCGCAAGGATCCTAGGTTTTTCCATTTTTCGGGAATGGGAGTCTACCCCATAGGAGCAATAGCTGAAGGGACTGCAGAAGAAGAGTCTTCAGTGGCTGGAGGATCTCAAGAGCGAGATCCGGAAGAACCTTCCACCAGTGGATTCCCCGATATAGCAAGCACACCAACAACATCCAACTAACAAATCCCTTTGCCTCGCAGTACATTCCAGGGTTCCCAACTTGATCCCAACTACAATGAAGGTATTTGATCAATGTTTTGGGACCCTCTGAACTGTGCGGTTTCCCTTTGGCTTCCCTTTCAAACCAACCAACAGGAGATTCCCCCCGAAAAAGACGAGCCATGTTCACCCAGGATGAACGAACCGCTGGGTTGATTCCTTGGGTCTCCGATTCATAGGGAATCATTGACTTGCCCTTAGAGCGTGGGTCCCTCGAATCCACCACGTGATTTTGGTTCGGGAGGTTAACTGCTTGTTTCATATGAGTGTCTATTTTTGATCCCCGCTTTTGGTGGCAAAGGGCCAAAGGAAAACCGAAGCCCTTTTGGGGAAAAAGACACATCGAAGGCACGGTCAGGTTTGTCCTGGTTTCCCGGCTGCCAAATGGGCTCATCTTTGCGGCTTCTTGTGGAAAAGGATTTCAAACGTCGAAGGACACCGCCCAGTTGGGGTTCACTGTGGATGGACAAAGTCCATTTCGCACCACTTGGACACCATGGTTGCAACCATTGTTTGTTGGTATTTACAGGGGAATCATCCTTCCAAGAGTCACTGAGGTGGTGCAGCATTTCGTCCATCCACTGTATTTCTTACAGATGCGGAAACTTCTCCCTTACAACAAGTCTCTCACTCCGTGAGTGGCGTTTTGGGAAGACCATGGCCAGGTGGCCAACGAAAGTTCAGACTCTTCCCGGCCACTCCACTCAGCAAGTCTGTGGGCGTGTCTTTTTCTAGCGGAAAAATGGCTTCGGTGTTCCTTTTGGTTTCCTTTAGCAGGGGTACCCTCAAAGAAGGACCCCTCCCATATTACATATGGCTTGCTCCCAGCCATCCCCTTAGCTGTTTAAGTCTTTTCAGTGTTTAGTGCCGGCTTTGAACCCACTAAAAGTTGTCGACTTTTAGCAAATCTGAGAACGGACAGCCCCTACTGTGAATAGTTACGAAATCCATTTCGCACCACTTTGAAACCATGGCTTCAACCCTTGCAACTGTTGGTATTTGCAGGGGATTCTAATCATTCCACTGGATTTTGTGAACGCTGCGAACTTGATCCGCGGCCATTCTCTCCATACTTTCAATTTCAGGCACTATTAATTCTGTGGCTACAAACTCCACGCCATGAAAACAGGCGGGGACAGCCCATGTGCTACACCCCGCTTCCTCTCGAGGCAAGGTCGGCGCAGTGCGCGCCACACATCGGCATGCGCTGCCGGCGGTGCCCAACTCCGCCCTGAAAGTGGCGGCGGAGGTGTCGTTCAAGGGCGACGCGGCTTCAAAAGACGGCCAACAAAAAAAGGCTGGTCATGAAGGGAATGGATCACTCTTGCACAAATGTTTTCCCACTTCTTTTTCGAGCGGATGATGTTGTGTTGAAAAAAACTAATGTTCCACTTTTTGGTGAATTGAACATCACAGTTTTTGACTCCTCCTTTTGGCGGGTTTCCCTTGATACGGGTGAGTAACACAGACCCGGAAGGCCCGGGGGACATATTCCTTTACCTGTCGTACTGTCAGTGAATTTCAAGAAAATAATGGCATTCCTCCCCAAAGAGCTTCATAGACCTGAGGCCTTTGTCCCTTTTCCTGCCTTCTTGGATGTTCAGCCCACTTGGCAGGTAGGTGATGAACAATGTTATAAGGGTGCAACCCCAGTTTTGCCCAGACAAATGCATGGTTCTAACTAAGTGGATTGAACATCCGAAAGGGAAAGCCAAAGCAACAAAAACTCACAATACCCACACGCACACACACTTCGGCCAGAAAAGTGTTCGTACTCTGTCCAAAGTGTTCGGCGCAACTTGGGTTACAACCCACTCATAAGTGCCCCCAAAATGGAATTAACCCGGTTATGGGTGGCACTTGCTCACTTGGCGAATCAAACATCCACTAGGTCCCCAGTAGTGCCCTTTAACCCTTTTGTGGGGGAGGGTTCCCCTACTAAAACAGACTACAAAAAACGGGTACCCTTATTCTAACCTCTCTACTATACGACCTAGTCCAAGTACCCTTTTGGTGGGGGGCTGAAGGGAAGCCAGACTTGGTTGCGGTTGCCAAGTTGTCCTTTGGCGCCCTAGGCCAAGGCTTCCATAGGACAAGTCTTCAGCGGGGCTTAGGAAATGAACCTTGGCCCGCCAAGGCTTAGCCCGCCAAGGCTTAGGACAAGTCTTCAGGGGGCTTAGGAAATGAACCTTGTCAACGAGTCTACCTTGACCCGGTTCTCAAATGAGTCGAGGGGAAGGTGCCCCATTCTTTCCAGGGATGCTGCTTTTCCATGGGGAAACAGCAGATTTTTAGAAAAGGAGGTGGTCGCAAAAAATGGGGAATGAACCCCTAGAATGAGAAATGGAAAATGGAATGACCCAAACTGAACCATCCAGTGGTTTCCCTTTCGAGCCGCATCCAAACCCGTCCCGATCCACGACTGGTTGAAAATATTTGTTGGCGGCTTTCCACCCCAAGCAGGGAAGCTGACTGAGGAATCGGTCCTGGTTTGAATGCTTTCCTCCCTATGGTGGGTTCCAGAATAGGGGTGGCCCTGCTCTAAATGGGCTGCTTTTTTTTTTGCTGGTACCTTTTGTTTTTTGGTTTTCAAGGGACACCAGCGCGAAAGACCGAATCCATTTTCGGGGGTTCCCCTGAAAAGAGCCGCGCCCAACTTCGACTTCGTCCGATCCGAGCCGTTGCCGTTTTTGAGGTGCGCCGAACACTTCGCCGGACGAGGCGGCGGTGACCCAGGCGAGGAAAGAAAGAAAGAAAGAAAGAAAGAAAGAAAGAAAGAAAGAAAGAAAGAAAGAAAGAAAGAGAGAATCAGAGAGAGAGAGAGAGAGAGAGAGAGAGTGGCGTGAATAGCTAACGAGTGTGCAAGTGCGGTATATGAGAGAAGCACGGTTAGGCCGGCCCAATGTGTGAGTTTTCTCCTACGCGCTTAGGAAATGTCGGGAGCCCAGGCTGAGGTCTACCCTTTTCCAGAAGGCGATGTTCTTTGATAAAATTCCTTACCAATGCCCCCCCCCAAAAGGATATTTCCCCGAAAATAAATGGTGGTTGTTCGGAAAAAATGTGAATCTGGAGGGAAGTTTGTCTGAGCATGGCTCATGGTAAATCGCCGGTCCGGAGAGACAAACTCAGACTCTAAAGGTTGGATAAGAGTAGATGGCGAATTCAATTCCAACCCATTTTGCTTTCTTATCTACTTGCAATTGATTTCGCTCATTTCTTTTCCAGTGCTGTACTTATCCAGTGCGAAATGAAATTCCAAAGTGCCTTTACCAGGTTCCCCTGTAGTGCCCTTTTACCCTTTTTTTGGGGAGGGTTCCCCTACTAGAATGACTGCAGAAAAAACGGGTACCCTTATTCTAATCTCTCTACAGGACCTAGTTTACTTATCCAGCGGGAATGGTGCCATGTACTTTCACTCGACCCCCTGCGGCTGTTCGGGCCATTGGGATCGCATGGCTTCCCGGTAGTTGGAGGTTGGCTGAAACTTGGGTCCGGGTGGTCAAGAGGGATGCCAGTTGAGAGCGCCGTTTTTTCCCCCCCCCCTCTTTTTCCGGAGTACTTGTGTTTGACCAGATTTTCCCCCGTGGCTCTTCGTGTCTGACACAACACGGACCAGTTTACGGCCGCCTCATTTGGATTGGCCTGCGCATCGAGCTTCCGTTGGAGGCAACTCGATGCTGTCCCCGCAGGGTGGCTGTCTCCTTTGCGAGTGTTTCTGAAGGGTCTAAGGACTTGCCGCCCACCGCCCGAGGGAACACAAGTTATTTGAGCTGAACCCTTGGTTTTTTTTGGGGGGGGCCCTGGCACTCGGATTTTGGGGGGGGGCCTTGGCACCCGGATTGCTAGCATTGGTCGAGCCGTGGCAACCACTTCGAACCCTCGAGCTGAATGATGGCTCCCCTTACCATCTCCATTTGGGTGTGCCTTAAAATAGCCCCCCCCCCCCCCCCCCCACAAAAAAACAAAAAACAAACAAACAGGAAACACAAAAAGGTGTTCGCCTTTGGTTCCCCTTTAACACAACCCAAAAAATTGGGTTCGCTAAAAAACACGGCAGACCCATGTTTTTTGACGCAGGCCCTGGATTTGAGTTGTGAAGCCTGTAAAGACTTTAATCATCATGCTACTAGGACAAAACAATGGGTTGAGCCGGGCGCTCTGGGGTCCGGCTTGGATGCAACCATCTTTGCCAATATTCTCGGGCGGGTTTTGGAAGCTTGGATTTGTCTCGAAACAGGGATACCCCCCAAAAAATGGTAAGGTTTGCTATTTGGTGTGTCTTTAAGCCAACGCCAAAGCAGGATACCACAAAAACAAGACACGCCCTTTTGGCCTCCTGCCCGTTTCCGTTGCACAAATCCATCAAGCTAAACCCAAAGTTCATAGGTGTTCCGCAGGATCAAGTTGGTACGGTTATGTACTTGAGGAACCTGCGAACGCAGGATCTGTACTGCTTGTTTGATACCATGGAACCGTTGCCCCCCGTTTGGTCGAAAATATGTCATTTTGTTGGCCCAGAGAGACAAGCGTCGAAACGCAATTCCCACAACCCTGTATTGAACCTGGAATAGCGAGGAGTTTGGGACCAAACACTGACAGGCGAAACAATCAGGTTGTTGATATTGTTTATAATCACCTTTAGCCTCCACTCTGATTTTCAATAAAGACAACCGGTAATTAACAGGTTCGCAACGAGAACTCTCTTTTTTTCCGCACGGCTCCCCCAAAAGGGGGACTTTTCAAAAGGTGAGGAATCTCAAAGATTCCAGTCTCTTCCGGGTTTTTCAGGTTGATTTTTGGGGTTTTGCGGCTTCACACGGTGAGTCGCAAAATTTCCGGTTCTCGGTGAATTTGGGGGTGCAAGGAGCTTGGCTTTCTGGGGCTGCCCATTCCGCGCCTCGCTCGTTTGAGGCGCTTCAGTCCACCCAGGACCTGTCCACCCAGGACCTGGGCGAACCAGCTGGAGGCGATTCGGTTGGTGGCCGTTCTGAGGACCCGTTCTGAGGCCCCGGGCCAAAAGTGAGATCGAGGACGTCCCAAAGATTGGGCTGCCGTTGAAAGTTCACAGGAAAGAAAACCGCCAGAGGCATGTGGGGGTGAATCTTTTTTGGGGATCCACCAAAATGGCTTCGGTTTTCCTCTTGGCTTCCCTTTAAAAGAAGCTTTTAAAGGCTACCCTCGAAGAAGACGCACCCATTTCAGTGGTGAACAAACAAACCTAGACTTTTTGAGCAAGCCTTCAAGACACATCGGACCACGGCCCATACAGTGGATACTGGATTTGACCAGTGGGTGACTGGGCGGTCTTCTGGTCTCCTTTGGTTTCAGTTAAGTCATCATCCAACAAACAGGCTTCCTATATTGAGACAGACCCAGGTGGGCAAAGATGCCGTGTTCTTTCTCCGAAACCTGTCGCTCGTTTAAGCGTGTTCGATGCTTTGCTGTTGCCGAAGACTTGACTTGAGGTAGGGAAGGACCCTCTTTCTGAATGCTCTACAAAGACACCGTCAGGACCCCCTTTTGTGGATTCGGCTCCATATCCCATTTCTGGAAACGATCCCTGTGGTGTCAGAACATAAGAATCAGACAAAACCCCTCAACCCCCTCAAAACCTGCTTGGCACTTCCGCTTATCAGCTTCGACCTTGGATTGCGGGCTGTTTTTTCTTCCAAAAGGGGTATCCAACTAGCACTAGTCACTTAGTCAGGCACCGTGACATGTGTGCCCTTGATTTATACGGGGCACGAAACTTGACAGCCTGTAACTTTGACAGCCGGTAACTTGCGAGAGTTAGACGGTTTTTGGCAATCCAAAAAGGATGAAATGAAGACTTGATACTTGGTGTGACTCCAAGTCCATCCAATTACGCGACCTGCAGTGCCGCAACCTTCCGCGCACCCCCGCAACCTCCAACCTTCCCCAACCTCCCCCCAACCTCCCCCTGACTTGACGTCAGTCCGTGAGAAGCTGATCAGCAAAGTCCCGGTGGAGTTCCTCTCCATGGCCCACAACTTCCTCACAGCAAGGGAGGCCTCCGCGCCCCGTAGACCAAGCAGCTGCCTTTGGGTGGGGTGGGGACACCAACCAGCAGCTAGATGGGTTCCACTGGTTCGGTTCGGATGGGGTTGCTGTTGGCCCCAGTTCTTTTCCTTGACCAAAACGGCGGAAACACCAACCAGCATAGGCAGCATAGGTGTTCTGATTCCAGGGAAGCCCATTCTTTTCTTTTCTCAAAAGGTCACCTATGCCAACCAGAGACAGAGACTGCCTTCTCGCTGTTCTTCCATTTGCTTAAGAACAGTTGTGTTTCCCCACAAAATGGTGGTGTGAACCAACCTTTAAAAAGTGTGCCCCTACGAGTTGTTTTCCGTTTGCTTTTCAGAATTGCCCCTGTTGGTTTTAAAGGGAATCCGGCATATTTTCTAATTTTGCCAGGGCACTTAAGCAAATGGCAGTTCTTGTTGGGGTGTTTGGGGGGGGGGGTCAGCTTACGGTGGTTTAGATATTCGCGGTTTGGATTTGGATTTGAACCCCCGCCTTGGAGGGTGAATGGGAAACCATCACCTCACCAATCCGAGGTGCGGGGGGACCTCCTTTGGTTTCACTTTTTGGGTCTAATCTTGAGAGAAGCCTAGAGGCTGCGAATGGGATTTTGGCTTCTTTTTGGTGTCGCTTTTGTGTGTTTTTGTTTCCTTTCCTTTTCTTTTTGTGTTTCTTTTATGTCTTTTGGGGTTCTTCGGTCTCCTTTTTGGTGGCCCAAATCTTTGTGTGGCTCCAGGCGGGTTCTTCACCCTCGAATGCGCTCGCTGAGGAGCTGACGCCGGCCATGCGCTGGGGGAAGCTGGCCCTGGGCTCCTGGACCCAGAAATTCCATTGGACTTGGAGCCGCAAACCGAGTGGAGGGGTTTCCCGTTAAGAATCAACCAGCCAATAGACCCCCCCATCCATTTTTCGCGTGTTTTTGTTTTTGTTTTTTGTTTTTTTGTCTTGGAGGTGTTCCTTCAAAAAGACAGCCACCAAGAGCGAGAGCGTTTTCTTTTTGGGAGGAGGGGAAAGGGTTCCTTAGAAAAGACAACAAAAGAGTGTTTTTTCCTCTGAAACAACGAACAACTACCAAAAAATGGTGCCACTGCTTCTTGTTCCCATGGAAATCCACTGGGGGTATGGGAAAGCGGGCACCCTTCCTCCCACCAAAAGGCAGCTGGAGGGTACCTAGAAGAGAGCAGGTTCCTCTTGAAGGTTCCGACCGCTTTTCAGGTGCCATGGCAACGTGGAAGGGAGCGTAACCAAAATAAAACCAACGATATTGGGGGTCCCCATGTTTCCGGACAAACCAGGGAATGACACGTATGCATCTGTGTTTCCTCAAGACCACTCCAACAATGGCACCTCAAAATATCACAATTGTAATTTCTCACAACCTAAACGACCTACTGGATGACGTACTGGCTTTCCGACCGACAAACCCCCCCCCCAAAAAAGTCTGTGGCTTTCAGTAGTCGTGGCTCACTATGTTGGTATCACAGAAAAGGTGCCTTTGGGTCGTTTTTTTTGAGTGCCCTTTCTGGGGTTAAAGGGAAACCGAAAGGACACCGTTGCCGTTTTCATGAGACAAGCCCATATCTGAGTTTTCCGGGCTTGCAACACCTGTTGATGGAGAGAGGGTGAGAGAATCTCCGAATAGTTTTGCGTTTTTTGGGTTAGGTTAACTTTCTTCCATTGGGTGGACCAGTGATGGAAGCCCCAGACCCCGACCCCATGAGACACCCCGAAAACGGGGGGAGGGGGGGGGGGAGGAGGGGGTTTTGGGGTCTCACAGCCCGGGCCAACTCTGGGAACGTCTGGGTACCAAACAAAAGCGCTCCTGTAAAACCAGTTTCCCTATCAATCCTATCAGTTTAAAGATACCCTATCAGACACCCAGACGCCTAGTTAACCACTCAAACAAAGACGCCCAGTTTCCCAGCTACAGAGTTTACGCCCAACGAGTGGGCGGTGGTGTCCCAGCGTCCCAGCGACATAATTTTGAATTGTAGACGCAGAATATACATATATATATACATATATAATTATGTGTATATATATATATATCCATTGAACTTAATCCTATTGTATTGTAATCAAAACTAGTTAGAATTGTACACCCTAGTAATCATAACTAGTCATCCTATCAGACACCCTATCAAGCCTGTTTGTATTGCAATCGTAGCTAGTTAGAATTTTATGCCCTAGTACTCATGACTAGTAGCTAGTCACTAGTCATTCTATCAGACACCCTATCAATCCTGTTTGTATTGTAATCATAGCTAGTTACCCTTCCTGCAACTAACATGGCACCTGTGAACAGGTACCTGGAAGACCAATTTCTTTTTGAAGGGACCCCCTGTCAGGTGCCATGGCAACGTGGGAGGGAGATTACAATTTTAATCCATCCGACATATTCATTGAACTTACTCCTGCATTGTAATCATACTTGGATTTGATTCCATCAGTCCATGGTTGTTGTTGTAAACACATTTTACATGTTTGCTTCTTGTGGTATGGTTGAACTCCAAATCCACTTAACTGCTAAAATCTAAATTCTTGCTCCCCGAACCCAACGTCAACCAAGCTCTTGGCCCCAAGAAACCCAAGCGTCGACGTCTGAACTGGAGCCTCGAGGCCTGGAGGGCCGCCAGCCGCGGCGGTCCGTGCGGGAGCAGCCGCTGGCGGTGTCCCTCAAGGCGCGCGGCGAGTCCTTCGAGCCGCGCGAACGAGATGCGTAGCCCGGGTGAAACGGCGGTGATCGGTTTTTTTTGTTCCCCCCTTTTTTTTCTTCTTGTTTTTCCTTCTCTTTTGACATATTTATTGGCGACAAGTAAAATAGAACTTAGTTTTTTTGTTTGCCCACGTAGGTACAGTTTTCAGGTTGGTTGCCCTTGAAACCCAAAGGACACCCATTTTTGATCTTATTAAAACAAAAATGCATGTGCCTTCTTTCAGCCGATTTGCTCAATTTGAGCACGACGACGTCCCTGGCTGATGAATAGAGGGGTACAACGTACAACTCATTTGAGAGGGAATTCGGATCGCGTGTTTCAACGCCTACCAATCCGCAAGCTTTATGCATCCGGGCTCGATATGTTGGGAAAAGTATGTCGAGTGTTCTGCTAGGTCCCCCGAGTAGAGCCCTTGTACCCTTTTTTTTTGGGGAGGGTTCCCCTACTAAAATAGACTACAGAAAAAAGGGCACGCTTATTCCAACCTCTCTACTGGAGAACCTAGTCTGTTTGCTCACTTAAAACACACATCAGTACCTCCACAACGCAACACCCACAAGGTCCGCGTCAATATGGGGAAATGCGTGGACACGAGGCATGCAGGGTTGCGCGAAATCGTCTGAAGCAAACCGGACTATGGAACCCCTTGTCAAGGAAACCATATTGAAGATTATGAAGCACCACTGCTTGAAAAAAACCGTGTAATTTTCTCATTTTCGGACATGCCGACATGGGCGTTTCCTCAGATGGACTCCATTTGTTGGCTTCGCTTTGATTTTACAAGGGCCCCTCTATGACATACCCATTCAACACAAATCTGGATGTCCAAGAGTAAATGCCATGTTTATGAGTTATCAACATACCCAAGAAAGCCAAAGTACTTGACGTATCTACATCCAAGGTCGTTTCAAAAGCCAGAGGCAGACCTCGCAGGCTGTCCAGTGACTCCTCATGTCTCGATCTCTCCAAATCCACGTTCACGGCAGGGCCAGCCACCAAAAAGAGACCTTTGGGAGCTGGTCTGGAAAGTTTTACCAGACGGAACCTACAACTGGAAACCAATATTTTTACCCCTAGGTCGGGTTTTCCCCTTTGTATGCCTGGGGTCAACAGGAACCCATGGAATAGACAGAAGAGAACGCCAATGTGAAAGCACTCCAAAGGCTTCGTCAACTCTCGGAGCGTTGGGTCTTGCTGCGGCGAAAAAGGGGTGCCACTCTGCAAGATGTTGGCAGGGCTTCTCCTCTCACTCCGATTCAAGCGCCGGAGCAAGTGAGCAGCGCCCAAAACCCTAGGTCCCCCAGTAGTGCCCTTCTCTCCCCTTTTTTGGGGGAGGGTTCCCGTTAAAATAGACTACAGCAAAAAGGGTACCCTTATTCTAAACGGGAGGACCATTTTGGGAAGTGGTTCTACTACCTGGCTTAATGGTTTATAGTAAAGACTATATATAACCTTTACAAATATGTTGGTACAATTAAATGTCCATAGGTTTTGAGTTTCGCTGCTCTGGTGTCGGCAGTTACTCAATGTCAAAATCACTGGTGGCCACGGTTCACTGGGTTTGCTCCTGCCCCATGGAAAATCTGCATGTCACCAACCTGCAGCGCCATGCTTTTTCTTTTTTGTATCTTTGGAGGTAAAGCTCAACTTGTGTTTCAACACGTTGGCCGCTTGGCTTCTCGCTTGCCCCGTTTCGGCCCCCCGCTCGCTCGCGCGTCTGAAATCGGCGGCCAGGTCCACGCGCAGTGGTCCGCCTGCCAGCCGGACGCCGACGGCATCACGCGGGACGTGATGCGCTGCAACTCTGTGCTCAAGGAGCCGAAGTCGGAGCTGGAACGACTGACGAAAGGTGTCGACTTGTCGACTAGTTTTGGTCGAAAAATCGATGGGCTTCGATTCCTGGATCTGGTGGTTTCATCATCAGGGATATCCATCTATTTCCCCTAAAAGGACGCGTATGCGGAACGACCCACTCGGAGTGCAACCCTTGTCTTGCTAGAGAATTGGTCGGAATGAGCCCGAGAAAAATCATTGTCAATTTGGTTTCGTTTCAGGGAGTCCCCTTCCAGTTCATTCTCAACACCCTGGGTCATGTTTTGCTGAGCACCAGCAAGTTACGCGTTTATGGCTACTTGGTTGGATGTTCGGACTTTAGCTTTTGGGGAATGAAGGATTTTCCGTTGGACCCACAAAAGGGTCAGCAGCTCAACAGCAACCAACGTTTGCAAGCCTGATTTTAGAGAGCAGGACGCGCTGCGGGAGCGCGCTTTTTTTTTGTAGATATGGGTGTGGCTCAAAAATTAAGAGCTAGGGCAAACCGCAGGTTTTCGTCTCTGGTTCCATTTACCCAGGTGCCATTGTAGTACAGGTTTTTGAGCCACAGCCATATCAAGATTTCTGAAGTATTGTTCGCGTAGACGTACATACTAAAAATAAACAAAAAACAAGGGAGCGGGTAATTGATTTGTATAGGATTCTGATAGGAAAGACATTTCTGTGTAAATTCTATTTTGAAATAAAATAAAGTCAAATCTAATTTCTATCATAACATGGACATTGTGTTTGGATTATGTCCTTACCAAATTCTGTTTGAACTCTAACTGAACTGCAAGGTTCTGTTGAGATATTTCCAACTAAATTCTAAATTCAAGATATAATTTCCAGTGGAATTATGACCAAGTGTTTCTTTATTTGAGTCCGATTCAACTTGGTGGCTCCCAGCCATCCCCTTAGCCTTTTCGCCTTTTAGTGTTTAGTTTTAGTTTCCATTCAGCCCACTAAAAGTTAAACTTTTAGCGAGGATCTGAGAGCAGCCCATTTAAATCCTATGCAAACTCAATTAAAGTTTAGAGAGCGCCCGTTGGCGGAGATACGAAATGAGTACTCACAACGCTGCCAGCCGCTGTGTTTTACAGTGTTTGGAGACCATGGTAGTGCTGGGGGCCAGGTTGAAAAAGCAGGATTGTAACCTCTGAATTCCTGCTTTATGAGTTCTACTTCATATCTTATTGTATTGTTCTCATTTTCTAACTACAATGATTTGATTCCATCAGGAACGACTACAAATCAGAATTGTTCCCTTGAAATATGTTTTTAAATCATTATTATTCTATGTTACACTTCATGTTACACAGGGTTTCCTTTCCAATAGATTGTCTTTACAAAACAGTACACATTCAACACGATTTAGAAAGAGTATAGGGGAATGCGATTTGCTAGAGCAAACCTGCACAACTAGGTCGCATTGTCTTCAGACTGCTTCAGATGCAAGTAAAGCAGTGGGAAAACAAGATTGCAGACCTCAGAGTAGATGCAAAAGGGGGGGTTGGGGTCTGCAATCTTGGACTCTACTGTTTTTTGTTTGTTTGTTTGGATTTCTCGAGGTTTTCTAGGTTGTTTGTTTAGCTGGCTCTGTTTGGGCAAATGCAGATGTAGCCCTTGACAGAAGAAGGTCATCCAGATGTGGGGTTGGTTCAAAGGAAATCCACAAAACACATCACCAAAAGAATCTATGGGTGTGTCTCCTTTTTTGGGAGTCTTATATCACGGACACCCATTTGAGGGAACCCCTATATAGACGGGCTTCCTTTTCGTGTTCTTTTTGAACCTCAACTTTTATGCGGCCATGAATGTTAACAGTTGGAACCTCTAAGAAAACAGCTACAGGACATTCTGCAGGAAACCGCGAGTTTTGGCGGGTATTTGGCTGGTTCCTGAATCCCCCGCAGTTGGGTGCAAGTAGATGCCGAATTCAATTCGAACCCATTTTGGTTTAGTCGAAATGCAACATGTATGATGAGCCAGGATGAAGGACCTCTTTTCAGGTTTGGAGAAGGTTGGATTGCGATTATGTATACACACATTCATATATATATATATATATATATATATGTAGGGGCATTAGGTGTAGTCGGGAACCCTTTGCTGGACATCTTTGGAGGTGGTTCCCTATGAAAAGTCACCAAATGAGTGTGTCCGTTGTTGACGCTTGCTATTTACCCTTTTGGGATGGGTTTAAGTTTGCAGGGAAAGCAAAGGAGCCACCGAGTCGCCATTGTGGAGAAGCGGGGAACTGGGCCATGAGCGCGCCTGTTTGTTTTGTTTGGGCCAAAAGAACCTTTAGCATGCTTCTAGGGGTTGATTCCCCATTCTTTTCAACCATCGTTCTTTCTAAAACCAGCTGTGTCCCCTGGAGTTCTGACGGTTTTCTGGAAAGGAGGACCCCTGGAAAGAATGGGGAAATGTCCCCTAGAATGTTGCTAAGATCCAAGGTGTGGGCAGATTTGCCGATCAATTTCTCGCCAGAAGTCTTGCTCGGTTGTTCTCAGGTTCAGCTTTTCTCTATTGGGCTGTTACTCAACTAATCTCTAGGAAACGCTCTGGATGCGGTTTTTGTGGGTCCACCCCTGTAGGATATTAAAAGAGAGTGCCAAAAGAGTGCCAAAAGCAACCTACCGGGGGAAGAACAGAGGTGAAATCCACAAAAAGCGCATCCAACGCGTTTTCTAGATAATCAAAAGGAAAAGCGCACCCCCCCCCCCCCGCCGCCAAACATGAAAGTCTCACCAGCCGACCTTTGGACCTTTTGGTTTTCCCTTTTGGCCCATGTTTAGGTCCCCGAGGGGCAAGTGAGGGGTGCGCAAGCGACGGGATGTTTCTCAGGTTCCTGTGTGCCAAGCCATACCCGGCCCCGTTTGGAGTGCTCCGGGTTTTCTTTCTGCCGGCCTCAACAAGTGGCTGTGGTTGTCAAAACCGTTTTGGGATCCCATCCTGGGGTAGGTGAACCACCCATTTTAGAACCTATTTTAGTGGGGATTGGCATGTTCACTGGGGAACGATTTGGGTTTTGACCCATGGCCAAGTCTTGACAGAAAGGACACAGGAGTAATCATACGGCTCCAAAAGGCAAAAGGCTACTCCCCGATTCAGATGAGCGCCTGTTTTACCCCTCTGCAAAAATGTTTACTTTTGTGGGCCCAATGGAAAACCCGTCATTTACCCCAAACGTCAAAGTCCAAAGATTCAACCAAATAGCCACACACATAACTTGCGGGGTGTTAGTTATAGGGGATGGTTTTTCTCGGGTCCCTCATTCCCAAGTTACTCCCCCGATCAAACTGAGCGCCTTCTTAAAGAAAACAAAAACAAAAAAACATGCACTTTAGAGTGAGAGAGAGAGAGCGGGTTGTAGCTCGCGGGGTTCAAAGCTACATCTATGATAAGCAAGTCATTAGGGAGATGGGCGCTATGGAACTGAGAGATGGGCACGCCAAGTTTCGCGGGAGCGGCAGATTTCAGGCAGCACGTCAAGTCTCTGGAGCGGGGCGGTTCCCATTTCTTTAGTTTTGAGTGTTTTTTTTGCAGAAACCAAGGGCGGCCCTTGATTTTTTTCCAAAGCTTGCTCAGGGAAGTTGGGAGCCTTTTCCCAAGCTTAACATGGATCTGAGAAGAGGGAAACGTGTTCTTCTTCTTCTTCTTCGTCTGTTGCACGGTGCGCGGCTTCTTCGGGGTTGGGATCGATTGCTCACTGCACAAACCGAAAACGCACGATGTGCGTAGAAAACCTTTCGGCTCTCTTGAGGAACCTGATGGCCTTGGAATCCCATGGAATCGGCACGGCATGTGGTGTAACGTGGCAAACCCCACAAGCCAACACTGCAAAGCCAATTCTGATTCTGTAAACACTTGCTCCCCTGCAAGTGGACATGAGGCTTGCACTCAAATTGGGTGTGGCCCTTGAAAAAGACCATTCAAGTCGTCTCCTTGTTGCTTTTTCCTTTAAGATGGTGAGCAACATCTGAGGAATGGTTGGAAATTGCTGGTTTCCTTTGGTTTGCTCGCAGAACTCGTTTTGTTCGTGTCCCGCTATTGGAACGGCAGGAGCAAGCTGGTCGGGTGACCACCCGGGTGATGGACGCTTGCCGAGCTTGGAGTCTTTTGGGTTTTTGTTTTCTGGATAGGCAGGGAAGGCTGAGATCCCACTGGAACGACTTTG